GACCATAACTGTGATATGTTGAAAACATCGTCCATTTAAAATTCTTGGTCATATATCAGCTATAGAGAAAAATCTGTCCAAAATAGTTGTAAAGATAATATTGAAACTCATCTATTTGCAGATAACGAAAACAAATGGATAACAATCAGAAATTAGAGAAAGACATTTGCCAGTAGTTCTCAATGATAGAAGCCCGTTGTGGATCAATGTCATTTGAAAATCTCTCGTTGTGAGTTCAGCTCCAATTACCTAGATAATTCAAAGATGCTGGTCAAATGTGATTACACAAATCTTTTAAAACAGATTTAGGAAAACTATAGCAAAAACTGATCTTGGATTGAATGAATAGAGATGGAGAGAGAGTATGTGGGCTTCATGATATCTGATCGGGAAACGAAGCCATCTATAATCAACCAAAATCATGAAAATCACAGGAAATTGATAGAGATAAACGACAAATTTAGGTTTTGGTTGGTGTTGAACACTGTCCCTTTTTTCTCACTGTAAAATATATTGTTTTTTAATCTATAATGAAAATTTAAAAAATCAAAGTGTATGAATCAATTTCCTAAGTGAATAAAAGTACTGGGCCTAATTTGCTCAATTTAAAATACTAGTAAATATCTGTAGTTTTTGTATGGACTCTAGTATTATTTTCGAATCTCGTATTCTCCACAGTATATATCGGTTGAAAATGTTGAATTAGATACTAGTCCTAATTTTCATTTCCTTCCAATAGGCAAGTTCAAACTAATCAATTCTAGGAAAAGTTCACAAATTAGGCATTACATTTCACAAATGCAAAAATTGGATATTTAGTTAATTAATTAAAAATAATTATTATTTAAATATAATAAATTCACAATTATACAATTAATGGTCACATGTACATAGTTATATGCCAAAATTTATTTATTGATCACATATTATCAAATTAATTGATCACAGATTATTTCGAGATCACAAATAAATTTTTTTATAAATCACAATTTACTTCATTGGTCATGGATCAAAAAAATTATAGGTTATAGTTTCTATCAATCATACATTTTCAAATTTCTTGGTCACAAATTATGTTTTAGTCACAAATTAACGAATTTTAATGTCACAGTTTAACAATAAGTCACAATGAACAAACTAGTGGTCACATATACCAAACACTCCACCCTCGTCCCAATCCACCACCAATACTTGGTCACAAATCAACCAAATAATTGGTCACAAATACTATCCGACCTCGTCCCTGCCACAAAACTAGTACAACCACCACCAACATCAACAAAAACGCCCGCACCACACTACCTACAAAAAATACCACCGTCGTCGCCCTGCCCCCGCCACAACACCAACCCAACCACTACCACTATCACCGCCTGTACCACACTACCAACAAAAACCACCGCCGACGCCCCCTCCACAACCACCATTTCTACCATCGCCAACAAAAAAAGGTAGCAGAACCACCATTGTAGCATAGTGACGCTGCGTTCGCAGCAGAACCACCACCATCGCTGTCTGCACCACCAACAAAACCATTGTCGCCGCTGCAACACCACCACAACAACAAAAACCCGGCGCCTGCGCCACCACAACAACGAAAACGCGACTGTGTCGAAGAGAGAGAAGGCAGATCGGAAACACGAACCTTCATTACTTAGTAGCTTAGCCATTCTCAACCACCAACATCGCGATTTTGGGATCAATTTCACCAGGAATCTCCTTCATCTTGCCGTAGTCGACTTAAATTTGAGCTGGGGCAGCACTCTAAGCACTGCGTTGTGACGTCGATGCGCCGAAGATTCTCTTCTGGTGGTGACGCCGCTGCGCCGGAGATTCTCTTCCAGGGGACGGCACTACTACTGAGAGAAAAGGTCGATTAGTGAGAAGGGAAGAAGAGTCGGTTTAGAGAGAGAGAGATGAGTGAGAGACAGGGGATTGGAAAGAAATTAGGTTTTAATTATTAATTTAATTAATACCTTATTTTTTATTAAATAAATTTTGGATCTGATTTTTGAATTTAAAAATTTAAATGCCTGGTTTTATGTAATTTTCTCAACAATTCTTGTTTTGTTGGGCTCATCTATTAATATGGACCACTCCACTAAAGGACCTATATTGGATTCTTAAATGGATAGTTTCAAAAATAACCTAAATATACAAACTATTCCCATTATCTAACCCTTTTTCTTCCTTTACAACAATACCTTTGTCCACTTTATTTTTGTAGTGTCTAACTTTATTTTATTCTGCAACCCGAACCTCCACACCCCACAAAATTGTTCTTTTTTTTTTTTTTCATTTTTTTCCTCTTTAATTGTTCATACTGGAAATATTCCACTTATCTTCCAATATTGGCAAGGAGAGTCAATCATCGCAATATTTCGCTCATGTCTTGTAGATATTTTTTGAAAAATATATATATTTTTTAAATGTTATGTTAAAAAGTAAAAAAAATTATGATTTGACGTGCAAAATTATTTTACAAGAAGAATATTTAGTTGAAAACAGGGACATGTCCAGAAATTTAGTTAGGAGACTAAAGAGTAATGAACCGACGTGTTTTTAGTATTGGCATTCAGAGATTCCACATGACGTATTATTTTTTTCTCTAAAGTTGAACACATGGACGATTTGCTAACAATATAACACTAGAATAATTCAAAAAGCTAGCATTAAACCCCTGTTTGTCTACAATTATTTCAAAACTCTTTTGTTTTATCAAATTCATCTTTAACCACACATTCTAATAATAAAATATTTTGCATGTAAATCCAAAATTTTTTTGTACTTTTTTTCCTCTTTAATTGTTCATACTGGAAATATTCCACTTATCTTCCAATATTGGCAAGGAGAGTCAATCATCGCAATATTTCGCTCATGTCTTGTAGAGATTTTTTGAAAAATATATATATATTTTAAATGTTATGTTAAAAAGTAAAAAAAAAATTATGAGTTGACGTGCAAAATTATTTTACAAGAATAATATTTAGTTGAAAACAAGGACATGTCCAGAAATTTAGTTAGGAGACTAAAGAGTAATGAACCGACGTGTTTTTAGTATTGGCATTCAGAGATTCCACATGACGTATTATTTTTTTCTCTAAAGTTGAACACATGGACGATTTGCTAACAATATAACACTAGAATAATTCAAAAAGCTAGCATTAAACCCCTGTTTGTCTACAATTATTTCAAAACTCTTTTGTTTTATCAAATTCATCTTTAACCACACATTCTAATAATAAAATATTTTGCATGTAAATCCAAGATTTTTTGTACTTTTTAACCAAACATTCTCAGGAAATTAACTATTTCAAAACTCTTTTTCACATTATAATGGTAATCAAACAGGGGATTAATTTCATTTCAATACATAGTATTAGTAATACACAAAAATAGTGATGAAAAGCATAATACGTGCTAAATGTATCACTGTGTAACCCAAAGGCTTCAAATAGCGTATAAAATGTTAGAAAAGTTAATATTGAGGAC